AAAGTATTCTTTATAATGTTGGGGTGTGGGTCTGGGGCCAGAACCAACATACTCCTTTATAGGCTTCAACTAAGAAATGCAGTGAAATAGGCAAGCTCAGGGAAGTCCCAAACCCAGATTCCCCAGCCAATTTCCTCTCAGGGCTTTATTTTCCCAGGAACTTTCCATTATCACTATGAACAGGGGGATGACGAATAGGAAAGAAGGTCTCCCCCAAAGCCCTTACCCTAGGACCTGGCAACCTCCCCCATGATTTTTCTCCTTCCATATATTCCACTCTTTCTGTATAATGCAGTACACAGAACTATAAGCCAGTCTTTTTAACTTCAGTTATATTCATTAAATGTCTGTAATGTGTCTGTGATTCTGACCATAAAACTCTTTATTTAATTAATAGACCTTTTCTGGTAAAGTTTAGGATTTACAGAACAATTAAGATAGTACTGAGTTCCTACATACACCACCCCATAATCCCCCAATGCACACTTAGTTTCCCTTATTATTAATATCATATAATAGTACAGTACATTTGTTATAACCAGTTAATAATAATATATCAATAATAGTTCACTAAAGTCCATAGTTTATTCAGATTTCCTTAGTTTTTATCTAATGTCCTGTTTCTGCTCTAGGATCTCATCCAGAAAACCACCATAACATTATATTTAGCTATCATGTCTCCTCGGGCTCCTCTTTGCTGTGAGTTTCCCAGACTTCCCTTACTTTTAATGGCCTTGACAGTTTCAGGAGTACTGATCAGATATTTTATAGAACATCTTTCAATTTGGTTTTGCCTGTTTTTCTCAGACACAGATTATGAGTGTTTGGGAGAAAGACCACAGAAATAAAGTGCCATTCTTGTCACACTATCAACATGACTAATCACCTGGCTGAGGTAGCATTTGTCAGGGGTCTCCACTATCAAGTAGCTCTTCCCTACCCCCTTTTCTATATTGAACCCTTTAATATAGAAGTCATAAGTATCTATAGTCCACACATAAGGAATTGAGTTGTTATGCCCTCCAAAGTTTCTTCACTTACTTCTTAATATCCTAATCCTCTCAAAGAGCGTATACAGATAAAACAAACAAAACTGAGACCAAGAGAACTTATTTAAGGCTACAGAACTAAAAAGTGCAAGGGTTAGAAATCAAACAAAACTGAGTCCTAGCTTAGTGCTCTTTTCATTGTAATACAATTTCAAGAGCACAAATTATATAGTAATATGTAAATTTCAAACTCCACATTATTCAACCACTAGTCTCCTTCCATATACTTCTTTTATTTTTTCTTTTTCTAAGTATGTTCCATGCCTAATGTGGGGCTCAAACTCACGATCCTAAAATTAAGAGTCACATGCTCTATCAACTTCTATTTTATTCATCAGGTTCCTGTTTCTCTGGCAGTGATTACTCTTTCTTATTAATTTAACTAACTTCTACTCTAAAGCCATGTTATTTTTCTCAGTTTTCTTTGTCCTGCAGAAACACATTTTTTTGAACTATGTCCCAGAAACATCTTTACACTTCTGTGAACCTACCCTATAGAAACTGCCTGAACTACCTTTGCCAGTAACATGATGTAATTAATGAAAAAAGCACTAGACACTAAATTAAAAAAAAAAAAAAAAAAGTAAAACGGAAGGTTGTATAATATAATGGGTCAGAGCTTAGACTCTGCAGTCAGAAAGTCCTCTGATCAAATTTCAGTACCATCACTACAACTCTGACCTTGGAAAAGGCATTTCACTTTCTTAAACATTATTATACTTATTTGTAATCCTGGAAACTAATCTTAAAGCATTCAGTATATAAAAGAGGTGTATCTATGCAGTCTTCCACACAGTATCTGCAAAAGAGAAACTCTATGATTTCTAAACCAGCCCACATAATTTAAAAGTAAAAGCTGAAAGATAAACTTGGAACTTACCAAACTGATTATTTTGTACCTTTGATAATAGAATAGTAGGGGATCAAGTTACATAAAAAATAGTTAAGTACTTTGAATTGTGCATGCTTTAAATAAAATACAGAGTGTCCTGAAAATGAGATGTATTTTGTACAATTCCTCCCTGAGACAAGTATCAGAAGAAAATTTCCCCAAAAAAGTCAAGCCTACACTAAGCTCATTATATTCTTATACTCACCAATAACAGCTAATAAAGGACTTGCTGAAAATCCCTGTCAGAGGCCTAACCACCCTTCTTCCAGGATCAGTAACAGTTCTTCATAAACTAAAGCAGCCCAACTACACAAGGGCAATTAATCTATTACAGCACTCCAGACAAAACCAAAAGAGAAGCAGAGAGGAAATTTCAACTGGAAAATATTTTGATATAATTGACCCAGATGACAAACTAAACTTAAGCACATGTCAAGTGCTACAGTCTACACAAGAACACATACAGATGCCAAAGGATATTAAGAGTTCACACCAGCCAAGGTGAAGTCTCAACTATGAGTAGAGTTTACATCTTCAATCACTGTTTAGGAAAGATACACAGGGGAAGCTAAAGGGTTCTTTCATAAACTCAGAGAAAGAAATGTTTAAAGTCTTTAAAATCTTTATTTTGGGAATTAAAGGTAATTACAATTATAAAAAAAATGTTAGGGAGTTTCTCCTTCAATATATGTAAGATACCCGTATTTTCCAATTGGCTAGAAAATTTCATTGTCTATCTACATTTTTCTGATCACTTTCAAAATGTGTAAGACTTGTTATTCCAAAAGCTCAAATTTAATTTTGACACTTAGATCCCTTGGAAAAAAAATATATATGTTGTGACCAAAAGCCAACTTTCTTCATAGAAAAGTAAAACTAGAAAGAATAGAATATAAATTCCCAACTTCTTTGACTTCATTTCTGCATACATAAGCTATATGATATAGGTACTTTAAACTCTTCTCACAAGCAATAATCAGACCAAGATGAAAAGACCAATGAAAATGCCAAGAAAAACAAATAATTTTTTCATGTGCCCAACTTTTTCTTTTGGAAACTTTTAATAAACATGTAGGAAAACTTAAAAAATAGTAAAATGAACATTCATTGTTCATTAAATATATTCTCCACCCAGATTCAAAAACTGAATAATACTGCCAAATTATACTAAATTGTATATTGAATAAAAATCCATGGTAGGGGCGCTTAGGTGGCTCAGTTGAGTGTCTGACTCTTGATTTTGGCTCAGGTCATGATCTCTGTGCTGGGCATAGAGCCTGCTTAAAATTTTCTCTCTCCCTCTCCCTCTGCCCCTCCCCCACTCATGCACACACTTTCTCACACACACAAAAAAAGTTAAATAAAAATTAGTAAGTAGGATATATAATTATATCTAAGCAAGTATGAACTCAGTTGAATAAGAAAATTTCTTAACATCACTTATCATTTGTGTGTGTGACCTGAAAGAAAAATGAACATGAGTTTAATGAAAAAACTCAAATAAGTTAACATATTCATGGTTATTTTACATGAACAGTGTCCAAGACAAACCTTTCAAAGAATCTTTTTATCATTTTCTCACAATGAAAAAAAGGTAAAAGTAAAACTGTCTAAAGTCATGAAAGTTTTCATACTTAAAAACAGTAATAAATGTATTTCGAAGTAATTCTACGATAGGCCAGAGAGCAGTCCTGGTAACATCTGGAAAAGTTATCTTAGATCACATGAGATACTAGTTTGTAGGAAAATACATGTGCTCCTTTTTGAGATTCAAGTGTAAATAACTGTGAGTGAAGGCCTCATCAAATAAGTTTCAGATATCTAGTAGACATAAAAAATTCAAAGATTACGAATATACAGTTGTGAAATACACAACAAGGTAGGCACAGAAAAATGGAGATGACAGTAAAACAAGTAGGAAATGCCAGTAAAATGGCCATGTTCATTACCATGAGATAAGAGGACCGGGACCAAAGAGAAATCAAGAGGTCTCTGAAATTTCAAAATCACTCATTATTCCAACATTTAAACCTGCAAACTTTAAAACTGTAGTTTTGATTCAGTATCACTGATGAGAGTGAAAATTGTTCCCTCCCCGTATCTTCAGTATCCAATATCTTCCACAAAAAGACAATCAAAACTATGCAAATAGTAGTGACTGTACACACACTGATTCTTAAAAAGCAAAGAACCTAAATATATCTAAACATTTCCAAAAAAATTTTAAGTAAAAAACTGACTCTATTCTGAAATAAATTTTATGCTCTGAAACTGCCAAGGAGTTTAACGTTCTAAGATAGGAAACATATTTTGTTATGAAAAAAAATCCCTGGTACTATCAAAACGGAGCCTTTTATCAGGTGCTTCTTACGAAATGAATTTGATATTTAACAGACTAAAGTACATACTTTTGTGATAAAGTCCATTCTACTAAAGAATTTTAGGTTTTATGTATGTATATTTTGTAACTGGATATATGATATTATATAAAAGTTAATAATAAAATTATATCCAGCCCTAAAGTAATGTAAAACTACATGTCAAGTAAGATTATCTATCCCAAGTAATAGGGTAGAGCAATGAACAGATAATGTATGTGTGTATTTCAGAAAATAAACATTGTACAATTATTCCCAGACTGGAAAAGCATTTTTAAGGAATTTAGTTTTACCATTTAAAGTATCTGAATTCTTTGAAAATTCTACATATACAAATACTATATTTATAATTAAGTCCTGGTTAAGCAAAAGAGATTAACGCAATTAAAAAATGTAGAACTTAAACAAGACTGGTTTCTATTACACATAGATATAAGAGATACTGATAATAACAAAATTAAAGTTGTCTTCTATTGTCCACCATGTTTTGCTGATTACATGCACTAATTTAGTTAGAGCTCATCTCCCTGTATTATATTACCATCAACTTCAAAAACAAAACAAAACAAAAAAATCAACTCCTTAAGATGTCTTTTCATATTTTTCTAAGGACAAGAATCAGAGGATTGGTGTTAGTGGGGCTGGAAAAGAAAGTAGCAATCTAAAAATTTAACACCTTACCTTTATAGCTAGGAAATTCAGGCCACTCTCATTGGCTAAAGCCTTTGCAATCATTGTTTTAGAGCATCCAGGTGGCCCATACAGAAGAACTCCTTTAGGTGGTTGAATACCCATTCGAATGAAAGACTCTGGATGTTTCAAAGGCCATTCCACAGCCTGTTTCAATTTTAGTTTGATATTTTCCAGTCCTCCTATATCTGACCAGGATACCTGCAAAACAGAGCATTTTCTAAATGTAAGTTCTGTGAAGACAAAGGACCAAATAAATAAATAAAGCAATAAAAAGTGCAAGAAGAGGAATATAATCATTTAAGAATCTAGAAAGAAGATCCTTTAAAAATTCTATCAAGAAGTAAATCAGAGTACATAAAATGAGCTGCATATTATAAAAGTACTAAAGAAAAAATGTTTCTGCTTGTATACATAATTATTTAAATGACTGAACATACTGTTAAATCTATCTTCTATTTAAATGACTTTAAAAATTAGGTTTGGGGCACCTGGGTGGCTCAGTCTATTAAGCGTCTGATTCTTAGTTTCAGCTCAGGTCATGATCAGGTCACTCAGGTTTGTGAGTTCAAGCCCTGCATCAGGCTCTCTGCTGTCAACACAGAGCCCGCTTTGGATCCTCTGTCCCCCTCTCTCTTTGCCCCTCCCCTGCTTACACTCTCTCTGTTTCTCTCTGAATAAACTTAAAAAAAAAAAAAAAAATTAGGTTTCATCTGACTGAAAATGGTTTGAATTAGTGACCCAAGGTCTCATCTATATATCTTTTTAGCAAATTTATTTGCTTTATTTATTACTTCCAAAAATATTTCTGAAGGTCCTTTAGGAACATAAGGTTTTTTTCTGTCTTTGATTCATGAATGAAGTATCTTCAAAGTTTTGTTCCTTTTTCTCAACAAAGAAACACCCTTCCCAAAATAAGACAATTCTTTACATATTATTTACTTAATAAATACCCATTAAGAACCATATATCAGATAATATACACAGGAAATAGAAGAATAAGACATGAATACAAACTTTAAAGAACTTAAAAACTACTAGTAATGTGTACATAAATAATCATGGTACAATGGAAGGGATGCTAAGCACAGTAACAAAGAGAAAAAGCTTTTGGGAGTTCCCAGGAAAAAAAAGATTACTTCCAGCTGGAAGGCACATCTGAAAGCCAACGTCTAAAGCACAGATGAAATCTGGAAATATGAAAACAGGGATATGGTCAGGTAGAAGCCAAAATTATGAAAAGCTCAGATGACAATAAGAAGGAATAAGAGAAAAATGACTTGAGAGAGAAAAATAAAAAATGGAAAGTTAGTTGAAACTATATAGTGGGGGACACTGAAGACTAGATGATGGAGTTCAAGAACCTCTTTCCTCATAACAAGAAGTCTTCGAAGATTTTAACCTGAAAAGTGCTATGGTCTAATCTGTGCTTCAGGAAGACTTCTCTGACAAGATTCATGTAGAGAAAAGAGAGAATGCAGGGAGATCAATTAAGGACCTATCCTAAACATTCTTAACAACAAAAAAACAATTTTAAACTAGGATAGCCACATGCAGAGGATAAAGACACACCAGAGTGATACTGAAGTTCCACGCTGACGATGTTGAAGGTAGAGTAAAAAAGAGGGATAATTTAATGCTAAAGATTTCAAGATGAGTTAACAGAATACAAATGAAAAATAATTTTTAGGAGGGAAAATATATGATAGATTTTTATTTCTAGATATTATAAAGAGTTGAGACACAGGACAGGCCATTCAAGAGCCAAAAAGGGAGCAGATGGAATGAAAGCATCTCAAATGGTGCTCTGGAAAGAGGTTAGGACTGGAATTTTAGATTTCAGAGAGATGTACATAAAAACAATAGAAACCATGAGATCAATTAAAATTGCCAATCATGAGGAGATGTGCGTGAAAGGCAGATTGCTCGGCATCACCTACATTTATGAGGCAAGAGGAAAAGAAACAAGAGAAAGTCAGAAAATGAATCCAAAAAAGAAAAGGTTTTGTTTGTTAATATCAGAAAAGGTTACTTTTTCTTAATGAACTTGCATGGATCTGGGAGAAAGGGGACTTTGTTTTTGTTAATGATTTTTGCCCACAGAACTAGGAGAATGCTATATTATCCACCACAATCCTGAGGTCAGATTTAATTATTCTTTTCTAAATTTCTTTCTTGGGATTTATCTTACAAAGTAAGATTACTGGATTAAAAGGCATGAACATTTTTAGGTCTCTTGATGCATAACATCAGTTTGCTATCTCAACCACTTTATCCATTTTAGTGGCATAAGGGATACATGTATAAGTTTCTCTGAAGCATTATCAACCTTTGGTTTTATTTTGTATTTTTTTTTTTCTGATTTCACCAATTAATAAAATTAAAATTAAACTTGAGATCAATGCACATAAGCTTACAGACCTAAAAACATCCAGCTATCATCAGGGGTCAAAGTGACTGTTTACAACAGAAAGTGACTGTTATTGTTAAAACCAGGCCTGCCTAGGAAAAAGTGCAGCAGAGTTATCACACCCTGAGGGGTAGAAATAAACATGGGAAGAGAGTTTTAAGGAAGGTAGTCAACAACTATCAAAAACTAAATAGGTCAGAAAGTAGAAAGTATTAAAGAAGCAGTGGTCAGTAGATTTAGCAACAAGTTTACTAAATTGAGTGGTTTATTTAGATCAGTAGTTTTTGTTTTTATGCCCTTTAGCAGTGGAATATACATAACATACAACACAAATACACATATGCATGCACATGCATGCATACATAGACAGTATGTATACGTTATATATGATGCACAAAAGCTATATTTATAATAACTACCAGAAATGTAAAAGTCAGAGAAGCAACTCCTTAATCTAGTAAAAATTAAAATGACAGTGTATTATTATTATGATCCTATGTGATGCCCATTCAAGTTGTTACTATGCATTTATTATAACTATACAATGAGAAGAGCTCACTGTGAACATGTTCCATGAGGAGCAGATGTTTACTTATCTTAGGGCATGTTTGAGTTTATACTTAGAATAATGTAGCATTATAACAGAATAACTTAAGCTAATTTAAGTAAGTACAAATATACAGATTAAAAATTTTCTTAAAGGTTAATGCAGAACTTTATCTTTCCTAACCAACGACATTAAAAAAAATGCCTGTAAATGCCTAGGGAGGACATTTTTCTCAAATTTGTATTAAACTAAATAACCTGGCAATGCAACCTGATAACCTTCAGCATGATAAAATTTGGTTTTCAGTACATTTGCGTGTTTAGTTTTTAATCAGTCTTTTAAAGAGTCTTGAAAAGAGTTTTTTAAAAACCTAATATCAGATATTAAGTACTTCCATGAACCACGCATGGAAATAACCAACATAAACACAAAGAAATCCATGCGGTAAAAGATGATCTCTTTAGTTAAGGACCAAGGATACTAGCAAACAGTGCCAGCTGGACCAGGAGTTGGAGAGGGCTTGTTCCTCAAGAGAAATTAAGGTGCTTTTACTGGAAAACTGAGTGTTCTTTGGCATGGAAGAGGCCAAAACAGTGATGCCACTGCACAGACCTAGCCGACCATACTGAGGAGTTGGTCCACGGCCCTGAGGCTGTAAGAAGCAGAAGAAAAGTCAAAGAATCCTGTCCCTTACCTCCCTCCTGAGATAGAGCTCTGGCATCATCAGCTGTCCTTTCTCTAATCCTGCCTTGATTGTATTCTTCACTATATTCTTTCTTCAGCCTACAAATATTTCGTTTCTTCCTATCCTTCAAAATAACTTGGATATTGTTTCTACCTAATGTTCTATCACCTTCTTTTTCACCAGTAAACTTTCTGAAAGATATTATGCCTCTACCCCTACTGCATTTATATTTCCTACTTTGTATTTTAGTTAAGCATTTATCTTGCCAAGCAGTGGTAGGAAAAGAGGGTAAAAGGATAAAGATAAAAAGTTACGACTGGTGGGAAAACAGGAAGTTCAGGGAGTTACATCAGAAGGTCTGTAGCCTCTCAGGAAAACATGAGGCAAGGTCATCTACAGAAATATCAATTAATCTAACAAATACTGACCAAATGCCTATGTCACATTATGCTCGTTGCTGGGGACAAAATAGTTCCTGTCCATACAGAGTCTTTGACCTGATGGAATACTTTTCAAGGGGCATATTTCCATAATTAGGCAATTACTATACAGCATGTTACATGCTATAGTCACAGACTTTATCAACGTTTTTTTTTATTTATTTTTTTTGGGACAGAGAGAGACAGAGCATGAACGGGGGAGGGGCAGAGAGAGAAGGAGACACAGAATCGGAAACAGGCTCCAGGCTCCGAGCCATCAGCCCAGAGCCTGACGCGGGGCTCGAACTCACAGACCGCGAGATCGTGACCTGGCTGAAGTCGGACGCTTAACCGACTGCGCCACCCAGGCGCCCCTATACTCACAGACTTTAAATGAATGCCCCCCCCCAAAAAAAAAAAACTTTTAGAAGTGCTATATGAGGTGGGATCTGATGAACACACTGGAGCTAGGCAGCTGAACCAGCTGAAAATAGCAGTAGATGCCATGGGAGGAGAGAGACAAAAAAAAGCATCATACATTGCAGGAACTAAAAGTAATTCAGTATGGCCAGAATTTAGAGATCCAGGAAAGGAGTAGAAACAAAGGTCAGCAACATAGGAAGCTATCAGACCTTGAAGACTTACAAGGCATCAAGAAGTTTAAACTTTATCCTGAGAGATATGGAGAACAAGTTAATCAGGAAAATGACATGATCAGATTTCTGGAGGACAACTGCGGTTACAAGTGCATGTGTGCACTTGGAGGGGGGAGGGTAGAGGAGGAGCTTCTACAGTAATTCAGATAAAAGATGGTGATTATCTGCACTAAGGTAGTAGCAGTGGGGCTATACAGAGGGGAAAAAAAGATTAAAGCTTTATTAAACCATAATAACTATATTAAGGCAAATCAAAGCATCTTGAAAAATAATTAGATTTGGAGAGGGGTGGTAAAAAAGAAAATGGAATCAAGGGTAACATCCATGATTGAAACTTGAGCAAATGAGTAACTGAAAGTTCTACTGAAAGATAAAAAGGAACATGTTTGGAAATTAAGGAATTAGTTTCCAATTATTATACTGTGGTTGGAATTTATAAGTGAAATAAATTCAATAAACTAAGAAATGTCCTCTATGTGCTGAA